AGCAACTTCCTCAAATCCAAACAAACAGACAAGCAAAATGACACCCCTTGCCTGGTATTAAAGTTTCTTTTCCATGACAAACCTGCTGAAGCCAACCCATGTTTTCAGGGAGAATCATGTGCTTCATAAGTGGAATCCACAAGCCTTAGATTGAGTTGGTGTGTAGTAAATGCTGTCTCTGGCTCAAGACTTGCCAGAGGCATGGAATTTTTTCTTGATGGAAGCAAAGAAGGAGTAAAGCTTGAGCATGAGTGTTGAGCATGCTCAGCCAGTGTTTATAGAGTTAAGCATTTTTGCTTCTGGAGTCTCTTAATATCGGTGATTTTTTTTTTGTCACTAAAAAAAAATCACATTTGGATTTAGAAGGTTTGAATTTGTACTTCAAATCTGGCACTGTTTTCTTGAGGGATCTCCTAGGGAGTCTGTGTGTAGATCATTAACTCCAGTGTGGTTATAAGGAAATCATACCCAGAAACCAACACACAACCATCATGGTAGCAGGGGTGGTTCATGAATTGGCTTTGGGACATCCTCTGAAACCTTTTTTGTTAGGCATCAAATTCTTCATGACGTTTTCAGTATCAAGTTGGAAAGAAACAGAATTAAAGCACTGACACTGTAATTCAGCACAGAACTTCTCCTCCATGAGCTTTGCTTGTACCAAGTGGAGGTTTTTAGCATCAATTTCATGCACAGAGGCTCAGCAGAGTATGGGAGGTCATTGCCCATATGAAATGTGTGTGTTTCTTACTTCTTCAGGAGTTTTAAAAGAAATGTGGTAACAGACAGTATCACAAAACAGAAATGGCCTTGTAATCCCTGGAGCAGAGGAAGGACAGCATCTGTGCCTTCCTCTGCTGCAAGTGAGCTGAACTCTTCCTCTGAGTGAAACCTTCCCATTAGCTCCCTCACCACAGCAGAGCTGTGTGTTTGAATTTAGGGTTTCTCATCTCTGCAGTTCCCAGTAAGTGCAGCTGTGGTGGCATGAAGCTTTCTTAGATTCTGAATCTTAGATACAGGTGCTCTGCAAAAAAAAAAGGGGTTTTCAAAGAAATTGCTGTGACATGGAGGTCAGTGATCAGCTGTTACAAGCTGGTGGTTAGATCTTCCACATGGTGCCTCTTTTTACAGTCCTCTGATATTTTTCCTTGAATCCAGGCACCTCAATAATGGAACTGCCAATAATTCTCTGCATATGTTTATGTTAATCCCTAATTTGGTGATTTCCAGGTTGGATTATCTCAGTAGCACATGCCAACAATCAAGAATGCAAGTAGAAAAGCTCACCTGATGTGATACCTCATCTGCAAACCAACAGCAATGCTGGCAAATGGTGGTCTCAGCACCAGTGACTGAGGACTGGGGCTCTGAGTTGTAAGAGCCACGAAGGTTTCAGGTTCTCCTCGGCCTGAAACTTGCTTCGAGGTGTTACAAAAAGTGAGTTACCCAGAGTGTTGTCAGTGCTAGAAGCTTGGGACAAATAAACGTGCACTGGGGAAAGCAAAGACAAAATGTTATTTTCAGAAATAATCACATTTTAGTGTATCTTTTTACCTTTTTTAATTTCTTGTTCACAGATGTTTATCTCAAGGGAAAAAGAACCATGCACCAGAACTGCCTTTAATTTCTGTAATTCTTTCTGATGTCACAGTATTGTGCTGAGTAAAAAACGGATACACACAATATTTGAGGTTGTTTTGTTTAAATTATTATTAATAGAAGGTTGTCTAACTTTGGCAGAAGATGCAGCATTGTCATCTTGCCTTTCAGCCAGTGTAAATTTGGAGGGAAATTCCATGTTCATTTAGAGATTATTAACAGATTTGTCTGCCAAACTGGGTTTTGCCTTTCCTTCCATTGGGCTGTTTGGAGCTGCTGAGGGTTTTGCTACTTTCAGCTAAGTGGATTGATGGTTGATTAATATGTTTTGTTAAATGCTATCAGAAATAAGAAATGAAAGAGGCTTCTTCAAGCTTCCACGAGGAGGCACATGGTGTCTGCCAGTTCTCACCTTC